GAAGAAAAGAACCAGAGTTGGGTGTGAGCCATTTTGTGTTTGAGATGCAGAGCAGACCTCCAAAGGGTATCAGGAAGATGCGTGCATATTTGAGGCCAGGAAAAGTCTGGGCAGGAACTGAGAACTTGAAAGTCATCAATGCTCAGATGGTATTTAAAGCCCTGAGACTGTACAGAAGCCCTCAGGGAGAGAATTTAGAGAAGGCTGTGACCAAGGCCAGGGCACACACATTCAGGGGCCTGGCAGTGGGTCTTGGTTAGCCGTCAGCAGGAATGCAGACCTGCCTGCCTGGCCTCATTTGTAGAAGTGTATTTTGTGGGATGTCTTAAAGTTGTAACCTCCTTTCTTTGTGCCTCAGTCTCTTTATCAGCAAACTGGGAGATGCAGGATCTGGATCTAGGCTGCCAAAGATGACATTCCTTGGCCCAGGGCTCCCTCTTCTTCCAGGTTATGTCAGGCCTGGTCCTACTGTGACAGAGTGATGCCCATAGAAATGAAGCTATAGACCATATGAGGATTGTTGTTGTTAGCTGCTGTTGAGATAGCCCCTGACTCATGGGAACCCCCAGTCTCAGAGGGCTTGAGGACTAGATAGACCATTTGAGGTAGAACAGAGAAAACGGTACTCCATGCATTAGAAAAGATAGGAAGGAAAAGCAAGAAAGGGAGAGGGGAATGAGAGAATGAGGAAGAAAGAGGTTTAGAGATTAGAGATGAAAGAAAGACAGGATGGAAGAGAAGAAATAAGGAATGGAAGACAAAGAAATGGAAAGAGGGAAGGATGAGAAAGAAGGGGAGAGGCAGTGGCTGAGGAAAGGTGGGAGAAACGTCTGACTTTGGGTTTCCAAAGTGACAGCACCAGGGTGTCAGGGCCCTTGGGAGTAGAGTGAGGATGGATGGGGCAGGGAACCAGCCCCACAGGACTGGTGGGCTCCCCTGCTGACCACAGCCGCTGCTCTGGGAGGGAGAAAGTGATGTGCTAGGGACAGAAGAGGAAAAAGAGATGGATGGGGATGGGGTCTCTGGAGGAACTCCCTTGGGGAGCTAAGCTTGATGCTTCTGGAAGGATTTTCACAGATGGGGGGGTGTGGGAGGGCAAAGGTGATCCAGGCATCAGGAACAGTGGGAGCTGCGGGAACCAAGCCCCAGAGGCGTGAACATCCCTGACATATTTCATGCGGGTGAACGGAGAGGTGCGGCTGAAGCGTAGGGTGGGTGTTGACATGTCTTGAGAAATCAAGTCTCCAAGGAGATGTGGGAGGACAGCTTCCTGCAGGAATTGTGGACTTCAGAGCCAGAGAAAGGCAAACAAACAGATTCTAGCCAGCACTGGGTCCAACTTAACCCTTTCAAGACTGGATTAGTTTCTGCTTTGAATTTTTTTGTTGAAACCCTGTGTTTTCAGTAATGAATGGCATTTTGAGTTAAGTGAAAAATAAATTTTTTGAATGTAATGTATATTTTGATACAACTAGTGGGACACATATGTCCCAAGGGAGTCTCTGGTGCTGAAGTTGGTAGGATGAGGTCTGTTTCTTCAGATTCACATAGTTATACAGTCCCCCACAAGGTGGTAGCACATACTAAAAGTGGGATAGCACCTTCCCACTAAACCCCAGAGGTGGAAAATGTAGGTCAGCATTATATGTTTCATGGGTCACAAAAAGGTTAAGAGGGTATTTCTTTTTTCAGTACATGAAGCTAAAAGGGCATCATCTTTAAAACAGCATGCATTCATAGAGCACTTTCTGTGTGCCAAGCACATCTAAACCACTCCATCTGTAAACAACAGTATAAAGCCTCATGACAATGCTATGAAATAGACACTATACTTTATTTTGACACTATTATTTTATAACCATTTTATATATGAGGATTGTTGTTGTTAACTGCTGTTGAGACAGCCCCTGACTCATGGCAACCCCATGCACAATGGAACAGAATGCTGCCCAGTCCTGGGCCATCCTCATGATCAATTGTGGATCAGACCATTGTGAGCCATGGGGTTTTCACTGGCTGATTTTCAGAAGGAAATTGCCAGGCCTTTCTTCCTAGTCTGCCTGAGTCGGAAGCTCCACTGAAAACTGTTCAGCATCACAGCCACACACAAGCCTCCACTGACAGACCAGTGGTGGTTGTGCATGAGGACATTGGCCCTGAGTCAAACCTTGGTCTCCCACATAGAGGCCAAGAATTCTACCTCATAGATGAGGATACCACAACCAAAACCCAACCCATTGTTTTCAAGGGGATTCCAACTCACAGAATTACTTTGTAGGGTTCCCAAGGCTGTAATCTTTACAGAAGCAGGTTACCACATCTTTCTCCCATGGAGTGGCTGGTGAGTTTAAGCCACTGACCTTTCAGTTAGCAGTTGAGTGCTTTAGTCATCATACCACCGGGGCTCCTTATAGATGAAAATACTAAAGCTAAATGAGATCAAGTAACTTGCCCAAAGTCATAAACCAGGGTGTAGTCTGGGTGTCTCCATCCTCCTCCTAATCCTAAAAAGACAGTGGACCTGGGGTGGAGTTACCTGGAAAGAAGAAAATGTGCCTTAAACACCCCTTACACACCTGCACAAACTGGCACCCCCCCCACACACACACACACACAGGGCATTGCAGCTCTGACTACTAAATAAAATATCCCCACCTAGTGGTGACTCAGCCAAAAGGCAGACACACAATCCCAGAGGCCCATAGAGGCTTCATTCATGTATTCAATGACTGTTTGTTGAGCACCTACTATATACCAGCATCTGTTGTGGATGCTGGGGACACTGTGGTGAACAAGACAGAAAAAAATCCTGGCCTCATGGAACCTACACTCCACTGAGGAGACACAGACAATCAGCAAGTAAGCATGAAAGAGAATTACAGATTGTGAAAAGTACTATGACTGGAATAAACAGGGAAGTAAGGGAGAGAACGGGAGAGAGCTGTAGATCCAGTGGTCAGGGAGGGCCTGTCTGAGGAGGTAAAATTGCAGTGATCCCTAGAGAGTGGGATAGATTCAGCCTTTTGAAGATCCCAGGGAGAAGCATTTTAGACAAAGAGAATAGCCAAGTGCAAAGGCATTGGGATAAGATAGAATAAGACATGTGACATAAAAGAGGCCAGTGTGGCTGCAGCAGAGTGAGGATGGGAGAGTGGAGGCTGATGAGAAAGAAGGGGTTGGCAAGGGTCAGCCCACAGGTAGCCTGCTTTGTAGACTTTACCAAGGACTTGGGATTTCTTCTCTGAATAATGGGAAACCACAGCAGGGCTTAAAGCAGGAAAGTGAACATGATTCATGGTGCATTTTAAGAAGGTCCCTGTTTATTCTCACTAGGAAAGAAGAGTTGACAATGACAGGGATTTGGGTAGTGGCCAAGAAGATGGAGACAAGAGGGCAGAGCATGAAACAATTTAAAAGTAGAGAAAACCAATCAGACTTGCTGGCGGACTGGATGTGAAAAGTCAAAGTAGGGGAGCAATCGAGGTCAGTTCCTGGTTTTCTGGCTTGAGTAGGAAGTGGTACCATTTGCTGAGATGAGCATGTAGGTGAAGGACAGGCTTGGTGGGTGGAGGAACATCCATAGAGCAAGAGTTTCCTTTTGAACTTCTTAGGTTTGAAATACTAGAGACATCCAGGTGGGATGTCAGGCAAGCAGTTGGAAATAGGACAGGCATTCTGAGAAAATAGATCTCATTATCTTGGCCTAGTCCCGGGGTGGCACGAACATGTGTTCTCAACTTCTAAGCCAAAGGTTGGAGGTTCAAAACCACCCAGAAGCACCACAAAAGTAAAGGCCTGACAATCTACTTCTGTGAACATGGTTGTTGGTGGGTGCTGTCAAGTTGCTTCAACTCATAACAACACTGTGTACAACAGAATGAGACACTGGTTGGTCTGGTGCCATATTCACAATTGTTGCTATGCTTGAGCCCATTGTTGTAGCCACTGTGTCAATACATTTCACTGAGGGTCACCCCTTTTTTGCTGACCCTCTACTTGACCAAAGCACAATATCCTTCTCCAGGGACTGGTCTCTTCTGACAACATGACCAAAGTATAAGAGGTGAAGTCTGGCTATTCTTGCTTCTAAGGAGCATTCCGGCTGCACTTTTTCCAAGAAAAGATTTGTTCATTTTTCTTGCAGTCCATATTTTCGATATTCTTTGCCAACACCACAATTCAAATGCATCAATTCTTCAGTCTTCTTTATTCATTGTCTAGCTTTCACATGCATATGGGGCTATTGAAAATACCATGGCTTGGGTCAGTTGCATCTTAGCCTCAAAATGGTATCTTTGCTTTTTAACACTTTAAAGAGGACTTTTGCAGCAGATTTGCCCAGTGCAATATGTTGTTTGATCTCTTGACTGCTGTTTCCATGGCTGTTGATTGCAGATCCAAGTAAAATGAAATCCTTGGCAACTTCAGTCTTTTCTGCATTTATCATGATGTTGCTTATTGGTCCAGTTGTGAAGATCTTTGTTTTCTTTATGTTGAGGTGTAATCCACGCTGAAGTCTATAGTCTTTGATTTCATCAGTAAGTGCTTCAAGTCTTCTTCACCTTCAGTAAGCATAAAGATTACAGCCAAGAAAACCCTATGGAACAGTTCTACTCTGAAGGCCATGGGGTCACCATGAGTCAGAATTGACTTGATGCCAATGGGCTTTTGGGTTTTGGTTTGCCTTAGCCTGTGGGCTGCTAACAATCAAGACTACCACCCAGCTGAGCCCAGCCTAATTCAGGGCATCCACCTGATCACCACCGACATCAGCCCATGCTCCCTTTCCCCTCTGATTTCCTTCTACCCTTCTCTTTACTCCAACACTTGTGGGATCTCCAAGTGTGGTGATGGAAGAGCATGGGCTTCCCAGTTTCTTTCCTTTCTATTGTAATATTTGACCTCTTGCATCAAGCTCTCCATTCTCCTCAACCTTAGCACCAACCCCTGGGCATGTGCTGGGAGCGCCCGATGACCCTTTGGACCCTGTCTTTCTACAGGTGGATGTGCCCTGGGTTCTGGTGTTGGCTGCATCTGTGGCATGAAGGCCTGTGAGTGTGACAAGCAATCTGTGTACTGCTTCAAAGAGAGCCTACCGACCTATGAGAAGAACTTCAAGCAGTTCTCCAGCCGGCCTCGATGTGGCAAGCGCAAGCTCCAGTGCTAGGAAGGTCATAGGGTCCTCCTTGACTTTCAGCATCTACTCCAGTGTCACACTTCTGGGAAACCTTCCAGCTCATCCCCAACAGGCTCCAGTCCTCCCAGGAGGAAGAGCAAGGGGCAACTTACCCAGCAACATTTTGGCTCAGGGAATTCCTTGTCATTCTGCACCTGGGGGTTGGAGATCAGCAATTGAAACAGATGAAATTCCTGCCCCAATGGAGCTTGTGTTTATTCTAGAGAGGGAGACAGACCACAAACATTTACATAAATACAGACGTTCAGAAAGTGGGAAGTGCTATGAGCAATGGGGGAAACAGATCTCCCCAGTCCCTCATCTCTGGAAGTTTCTGAGAGGGAAGAGGCCCCAGGGTCTGCCCAAAGCTCTCCCCACACCCCCACCCCAAATCCAGTTGCAAGGCAGACTTGAGAGTTTGGTCCACAATCCAGATCTAGCTGGGATCAAAGCAGAGGTGACAAGGGCTTAGCACATACTCCAGGGACCCCATGGGCACACTTGGAGTTTGTTTCTCATTTGCTCAAGTTTTGCTTTCTATAAACCCCCAGGAAGGGAGGGTGGGGAGATTGATGCCATTTTCAGCTCTCAGAAGATAGAGTGTTATCATGAGAACATTAACCTCCCACAGCTACCAGTGGATGTCATGGCCAGAAAGATGTTATGTTCAGCCCTAGTGGTCAGCTGTATTTGGCTGGAATATGACCACTGGGAAACAGAATCTTGGCAGAATATGAGTAAAGGAAGAAGGAAATGGAGGAAGAGATAAAAAAAAGAAACAGAGAAAGAGGGGATGGGAGGGGGGAATAAGATGTACCTGAATTTTCCATCCAAATTAAGAAACCCTTAGTTGCATCAAGAGAGCTCTGGTGGCATAGTGCCTAAGGCATTTGACTGCTAACCAGAAGGCTGGTGGTTCAACCCCTCCAGCCGCTCCTTGGAAGGAAGGTTGGGCAATCTACATCCATATAGATATGCCTTGGAAACCCAAGGAGGGGTCGCTATGACTTGGAAATGACCCGATGGCAGTGAGTTTTGATTTTTTTTTTTTCTTTTAGTTGCATCACATTTACATTCTAGCAAATATTAAAGTGATCTAAATTGGGTGGATTCTGTTATTTACAATACTCAACTGGTATGGAAGATTGCAAAAATGACCATAATTGTTCTCATCTCCCTGTATGTATCCTTGCTGCTAAAAGAGCATAGGGGATATGTCTTCTGACTTCCTCTAACCTCAGGAGGGGAAGAGAAAATCACCATCAACATTAACAGCTATGGCTGATTCCTATAAGGCAGAGGTCAAACATCCTTTCACCCTCCACCCTCTTTACCAATTTTGATACCAGCTGTCCCTCCCATGGCACTCACTACTTCTCTATTGGGTTTAATAATGCATTGCAGTGGGCACACAGACAATACTTATGATTATGAGGTTTATTAGGGAAGTAATAGGTTATTATTCTGGATCAGAAACAACTCAGGACATAGTTCTTTAATCAAGACAGCCTGTTCTCGGTGCTGCAGCTATGCTTCTCCCTGGCCTTGGCCTCTGCCCTGCTCAGGCAAGTGTTGTAAAGCTCTCTTAGCTTTCCTGGTGTCCAGAGAGGCGTCCCACTCCACAAGCAAGCCTCTTGCCCAAAGGCACTTGGCTTTCTTGCTCCTTGGGCTGTGAAGTCTGCTGCAATGTCTCATGCTGGTCTCCTAGTTCTACTGCCTCTATCTCTCTGCTGTCACAGCACAAGGATTTCAGGTCCAAAGAACATGCTCCCCTCCTAGCTCTTTTCTTTGATGATAATGTGATACCTCTTTCCATCCTTGGGGTGGCTCATTTTAAGCCTAGCAAGATGGCAAAACTGGCTAATCCCCATGTTAGGGTCCATACACCTTATTTCCATGGTCCCCCGTCCGTAAGGGTACCATGCACCTTATTTACGTTGTTAACAAGCTATTCAATCCAGCTGAGGGCCACAAGCTCCTCATATTTTCGTAATTCTACCTAGTCATCTGGTGAGTGTCACAAAGACCATGGCTAGAAGAGCCATATTAAGTCATTCACTGTACCACATTTGCCTTTCACGATGTAATAGAGGTAGAGTCTGTTTCTCCACCCCTTGAGTCTGAATTGATCTTGTGGCTTAACTGATCTTGTGGTCAATTGAATGTAGTGGAAGTGATGGTTTATCATTTCCAAGTCTAGACCTCAAGGTGCACTCTTCAGGCCCCTGCCTCCATCCTGAGAACAAGACTGGGCTAACCTGCTGGAGCATGAGAGCCCACGTGGTTCAGAGTTGGGTCAGCCCAGTTATCGCAGCCAAGACTTCAGACATGTGGGAGAGCCCAGCTAAGTTCAGCAGAGCTAACCCATAGCTGACCACAGACACAGGAGACAGCTCAGCTGAGACCCAAACAACTAGACAGCTGAACCTACCCGAAACTGCCAACAGGCAGAATTGTCAGCTAAATAAAAGTTGCTATTTTAAGTCACTAAATCTTGATGTGGTTTGTTCAACAACAATAACTCACTGATATAATTGGTCTTTAATCACCGAGATTTCTGGTTTCTCAGGTTGTGGGAAAACCTGCTCTCCTTGTAGGACCATCATTTATTCTTTCATTCAACAAATACATAATGAGGACCTACTCCAAGCCAGGCTCTGTACTAGAGTAGAGAAATAAAGATGCATCAGACCCCAAGGAGTTCTCAGACCAGGGGCAGACACAAGTAAACAGGCAATTACAAAACAGTGTGGGAGATGCTGGCAATTAGAATCAGCCTGAGGAGCAAGGACCACAGTCTGGGAGGGTCAGGGAAAGCTCTAGAGGAATGCTGGGGTTCACTGTCTCATTGAGACTTGAAAGGCCTAAAAGATGGGGAGGAATAAAGGAGGCCAGGTGGGGTGTTCACAGCCTCCCAGGCAGAGGGATGGAAGAGAATTCAGCATTCACAGACTCCAAGCTCTCATCCACCTGCCTCCCCATCTCAGCCAAGGAAATTTCCAGGCTTCTACTTGTTCAGACCAAAACTCTGGGTGTCAACCTCTTTTCTCATATCCCACATCCAATCTGTTGGCACTACTTTCAAAATACATCTAGATTCCATATTTATAAACTACTTCAGTAATATTTACATTAAAAAAATAACATTGGGGGGACATCTAAAATAACAACTTCTCACCACTTGCATTGCCACCATCTTGCTCCAAGCCACCATCACCATGTGTCTGAGTTGCTGCAACTGCTCTTAGCTATTCTCTCTGCTTCAACCCGTGGCATCCTGCAATCTCTTCTCCATAAGACCAATCAATAGAGTGACTTGTATCTGGCCATGTTACTTCCACACTCCAATGGCTCCTCATTTCTCTCTGAGTAAAAGCCAAAGCCCTTACAATGCTCTGAAGGCCCTGCATGATCAGCTCCCCCTCCACCTTCATGATTTCACATCCTACACTTGCCCCTTGCTCACTCCATGTCAGCCATAAGGGCCTCTGTGCTTTTCCTTCAAACTGCCAGGTACACCCCCCTATCAGAGCTTTGCACAGGCTGTTCCCTCTTCCTGGAAGGCTTTTCTACCAGATATCCACACTGTTCACTCCAACCTCCTTCAAGTCTGTTGGAATCTCATCTTCTGAAGGAAGTGTTTACTGCCCCCTACACACACACACACACAAACACACACACACAGAGGCATTTCTGACCATCTTTGTTTTCCCCTTCTAGTTCTTTCCTCCACCACCCAACATACTACTGATACTACTGTTGTTTTTGTTATTAGTTGCCATGAGTCAGCTCCAATTCATGGCAACCTATGTACAACACAATGAAGCATTGCCCAAGCTGTGCCATCTTCATGATCATTGGTAAGTTTGAATCCACTGTTATGAACACTGTCGGTTTTGAGTGGCTTCCATCATAGGCAGCAGCACTATGTTAGACAATTTTTGTTGTGATCCATAGGATTCTCACTGGCTAGTTTTTGGGAATAGATCACTGGGTCTTTCTTTCTAGGCTTAGTCTGGAACCTGTCCAGCATAGGTGACCCTGCTGGTATGTGAAATACCCATGGCATAACTTCCAGCATCATAGCAACACACAAGCTATTATGGTATGACAAACTTACAGAGGAGTGGTGGCACCTGTCATTACCATATATGCAGATGACATAACCTTGCTTGTTGAAAGTGAAGAAGACTTGAAGCACTTACTGATGAAGATTAAAGACTACAGCCTTCAGTATAGATTACACCTCAACATAAAGGAAATAAAAATCCTCACAACTGGACCGATAAACAACAACATGATAAATGGGGAGAAAAAATGAAGTTGTCAAGGATTTCATTTTACTTGAATCTAAAATCAGCACCCATGGAAGCAGCAGTCAAGAGATCAAATGGCAAATTGCACTGGGCAAATCTGCTGCAAAAGATCTCTCTGAAATGTTAAAGAGCAAAGATGTCACTTTGAAGTAAGGTGTGCCTGCCCCAAGCCCTGGTATTTTCAGTAGCTCATATGCATGTGAAAGTGGGACAGTGATTAAGGAAGACAAAGAAGAATTGATGCATTTGAATTGTGGTGTTGGCAAAGAATATTGAAAATACCATGAACTGCCAGAAGAGCAAACAAATCTGTTTTGGAAGAAGTATAGCCAAAATGCTCCTTAGAAGTGAGAATGGCCAGTGTTGTCTCTCACACTTCAGTCATGGAGTAGGATATCATGCCTGGTGAAGCAGAGAGACAACAAAAAAGGGGAGGACCCTCAAGAAGATGGGTTGACACAGTGGCTGCAAGGATGGGCTCAAGCACAGTAACAACTGTGAGGATGGTACAAGACCTGGCAGTGTTAAGTTCTATTGTATATGGTGTTGCTAGGAGTTGAACTAACTCGATGGCATCTAACAACAACATATATTCATTGTTTATTGCCACCTCCCCCATGAGCTCAGGAGGGCAAGGGTCTTTGTCTTTTTTGTCTCTGATGTAGATGTTGAATG